GGCATTCCTCCGACGGAAAAACAAATACAGCCAACTGCGGCCAGTAGCGGTGATGGAGGCGAGAGGGCCGGGCCGGGGAGCTGGACATGTGGGCAGCGGGGGGCCGCGGCGTCCCCCCCTGGACAGGCCCAGCCCCGGGAAGACTCGTGGGGCCCCTGCATCCGGCCCCCCGTGGCCCCCCACCCCTGCCCAAGGTCGGGGAATGTCACCTGCCCGGCCATGGGACCAACCCGCCCGCGTGCTGCTCAGGGAACAAGCTGTCATGTCTCCCCCTTTTTGGGGGGTGAGGCGGGGAGTCTCCTGAGCCAGCTCAGAGGCCGAAGAGCCACCCCTGGGTGCAAGGTCTGTGGGGTACACTAGAGGGGTTCAGCTCATCCGAGAGGTGCTGGGGGACTAGCACCCTCCACCTGGGGGCCTGCATCCAGCCCTGCAGGGCCATTTCCCCCGCCTTTAATTATTTCTTTTAAAAACAGATCGGGGACAGAGAAGGGAGCACCAAGTAAAGGGTGTTGGGAGGATCCGCCCAGGATGGGAGAAGCATGCTGAAAGTAGACTATAGACCGAACATGGTTGCCGCCACTCAATGCCTCTTTTGCAAACCACAACACCCAAGAGGAGAGAGAGAACAAAAGGGAATGCCCTGCCACAGAGGCGGGGTAGGGTGGGAGGATGGGGGGGTGAGAGGGATACTGGGATCCATGGTGGTGGGAAATGGGCACTGGTGGAGGGATGGGTATTTGATCATTGTATAATCAAAACCCAAGCACAAAAATTTGCAAGTCTACAACTGGTGTTTCACTAATAAAAATTTTAAAAAAAATTAGGGCTGCAGCAACAGTACAGTGGGTAGGGCGTTTGCCTTGCACGCAGCCGACCCGGGTTCAATCCCCGGCATCCCCTAGGGTCCCCCGAGCACCGCCAGGAGTGATTCCTGAGTGCATGAGCCAGGAGGAACCCCTGAGCATCGCCGGGTGTGACCCAAAAAGCAAAACAAACAAACAAAACCAACAGATTGGGGGGGGACAGCGTGATCATACAGTGGGGAGGGCACTTGCACGTGGCCAACCTGGGGTCCACCCCCCACCCCCACAGGCTCCCCGGGGCCCCGTCCGGAGTGATCCCTGAGCCCAGAGCCCAGAGCTGGCTCTGAGCACTGCCAGGTGAGGCCCCCAAACCAAACAAAAAGAGTTCAAGAATCCCCTCCCCTCTCTCCTCTAAGCCACCAACCCCCACTTTCCCGACCTCCCCCAAAACAGACGCACGTGGAGTTCTAAAAAAGTGTAAGAACGATGATGAAAACGACTTAATAAGATCACAAACGTTATTTCCCTAAGAAGGCCAATTGGTTTGAAGATCCCCCCGGGCCCCCCGGCCCCCGCCCCGGCCCCACCGTTCAGCTCAACGGGTCTGCGGCTGGGAATTTTGTTGGAAACGCTTCGCGGCCGGTCTGTAAACACGCCGGGCCTACGTGCTAATTTTCCCCTCCCCGATGCCGTCAGGTTGTCATTTTTCCCCTTTCCACAAAAAAAGGGAAACCAGTCAGACACGTGATCAGCGGTGGCCAGAACCCAAAGTCATTTTCCCCGAGAGTTTTCATCACAGCGCGGTGGGGCGGCCGCGGTCGGGACTCGCCGTGGGATCAAGCACTGAGCAAAGGCCCGACGTGAAGAGCGGCGGAGGGACCGGCGGAGGGACCGCGGCTCAGACTAAACAGTGATTAGCAGGAGGGTCTGGGTGACTCAGGCACGACTTTGGAGGGCAGTTGGCCTCGTCCGAGGTCTGGTCCTCATTAGGAGGGAGCGCTTTTAATTAAGATTAGCAAGGCCCAATTCGAGCTATAATTTGGTCCTTTTCCTCGGCAAATGTCTATGAAAACAAAGCAATTAAGGTGAAATGAGTTGGAGCATTTAAAGGGGACCGCGTGCCCCCAGCCTGCCCCCATCGGCGGAACCAGCACAAACAAGGCCGCTAATTCAGACCAGGAGGCGGCTCCTGCAAGGCCAGGGGGTGCGGTGGGGGATGCGCTGCTGCGGGGGTCGCCGGGGCCCTGCCTCTGAGAGAGGGACGGCGGACAAGACGTGCAAAGGTCCTGGGGTAGGAAGGCGCTGTCCGCTCGAAGGAGGAAAGAAAGCGGGCGACAGCTTTACTTGGGGCATCGCCACTGGTGGATCCAGATGGTGACCTGGGTGTCAGGTTGGGGACGGAAGAAAGGCAGTTGGCTGGACTGGTCAGCGGAAAGCTGGGTGGAGCCTGGGGTGCGTGCATGGCTGACGGGCCTTGAGCCCCCTCGGGAGCTGGGCGGAGCAGCTGGGGGGTGCTCCCACTGGCTGAAGGGTCGTCCGGGGTCAGAGCTGCTGAGTGGAGGCGTCTGCCCGGCTCCGTTCCTGCCGCCCAGCTGTGCCAACCTCCCAGGCCTCCCTCTGGACGACCTTCAGAGCCGGGCTGGCAGAGCCCCGCGGGGCCTTGCCTGCTCCTTCGAGGACCGATCACGTCCACTCACTGCCCGTGACACGGTGCGAGGCCCAGCCCTGAGTGACATCATCGCCCTGGACGTCACAGCTGCAGAAAAGGGACCCCCGTGCTGCCCAGCAGAGCCCCCGGGTCACCGTCACCACCACCAGCCTCGACAGCCCTGACACGCCAGCGTCCTCGCTGCCTTAACATCCCCCCTCGGGACCACCATCGCCACCACCACCACCATCACCACCGTCACCATCTTCCTCACCATCACCATGTTCCTCACCACCACCACCGTCATCACCATCATCACATCACCACCTTCATCACCAACACCATTAAAACCATCTTCCTCACCATCACCATCACCACCACCACCATCGCCAGCAGCAGCAGCAGCAGCCAAGGCGGGGCAGCGCCGTGTGCCGGGCCGTGACCGCCGCCGTAAGCCCACGCAGGCCCTGGCTCCCCCCACACCCCGCATCCCCACAGGCAGCTCCCGGTTGCCTCCCAAGCCAGCCAGCAGGGGGCTGGTCCGGCGTCCGGCTATGGCGGGTGGGGCCCTGGGTCCAAGCTGCACGCGTGGGCACCCCTACCCCGAGCAGAGAGAAAGCATGGGAGAAGCTTGTGACCGCCGAGTCTGGGGGGCAGGACGGGGGTCACAGTCGGGGTCCCTGCAGCATGTCCCCCACCTCCGCTCAGGCCACTCGGCAGCCGCGACTCGCCATAGCTGAGGGGCTGGGCTAGGGCTGAGGACAACGTCGGGTACCAGCCTGGCCCAGCCCGCTGCAGGCCCTGAGCACTGCGTCCTCGAACCCGCCCGCTGGGCCCCACCCACCCCGAAGCACACCTGAGCCCCCACTGGGCAAGACCCAAACACGCAGACCCCCTACCCCTGCCGGGTGGATGGGGACGGGCCCTCTAAGGCCACCGCCACCCGGCCAGCTGCCCGGCCCCCCGGCCTCCCAGTCTCGGGGCAAAGATGGGGGAGGACCAGGAGCCCCCGATGTTCACAGCACGGGGGGCTGACCCAGGGGCCACCCCACAGGGACTCCGAGCTGCCCAGGAAGTCCTGCCCTGAAAGGGCTCCCTGGGCCCACGGGGCCGAGTCGGAATGAGGGGTGCAGCGTGGGGGGCAGTGGGACCCAGGAAGAGTGTGGGAAGAGCGAGTCACGCAACCCCATGGCCAGAGCTACAGGGCAGGGACCGGGCACTGGGGGCAGGGAAGGCGCCCCATGCCGCGCCGTGCAGGGGTGGGGCTGTGGAAGGGGCTATCTGGGAAGGCGGCCTGGAGGAGGCAAATATAAGGATGGTCCGGGATGAGCTGGGACCCGGGGGGCAGGGGGGAGGAGGCGGTGCTCGGGGCAGCCGGGGAGGCTGGAGGGGGGCTGGGAAGCAGGGAACGGTTCTGTGTGTGTGTGTGTGTGTGTGTATAGCGTGTGAGGGCTGGATGCTTGATGTGTGTGTTCGCGGCAGGTGTGGTCTGTGTGTGGCGCAGGCATGTGTGAATGTGGTGTGTCTGGTGTGTGTGTGTGTGTATGTGTGTGTGTGGGGCGTGTGGTGTATGTGAGATGTCTGTGGTCTGTGTGTGACGCATGTGGGGTGTTGAAACACCGCGCCTGCGAGGCATGTGTGTGGCGTGTGTGGGGGGCGTGTGTGAGTGTGTGTGCCGTGGGGGTGTGTGGCGTCCGGGCTGACCCTGCCGTCCCTCTCCAGACCCCGGTTCCTCGCCTCTGTCCAGGGAGCCCAGCGCGGCCACGGGCAGGTGGACAGCGGCTCTGCAGGGTCACGGGCGGCGGGGGGTGGGGGGGTTGTGTGGCCCCCGCAGACGCCCCCAGAGCTGCGTCCCCGCCCCAGCACCCACACAGCTCCTGGACCCCAGGAAGGACGGGACACAGGACGCTGCCACGGCCCAGCCCTGGCCCTTATCAGATGCCACCAGCAAGGGCGGGGTCGCGATCTGAGCATCCCAGGAGGTGAGGCCTGGTCAGAGGCCCTGGTCAGCTGGCCCCGTGCCCCCACTGGGCTTCCTTCTTCCCCTCAGATTGGGGCTGGCCGCCGACAGTGGGGGATGGACGGGCGTGTCATGGGGAGCAGTAGGAGCCGCTTGGCCCTGCCAGCCTCAGAACATTCCAGAACATTCCAGAATGTTCCAAAGCCTCTGGGAGAACGTCCCCGGGCTTCCGGCTCTGAGGACCCGCTCTTCCCGAGCTGAGGCCCAACTGGGGACCCCGAGCTCAGGCGTGAGCCGGCCCCACCGGCCTCCACCTCCCCGCCCCTGGGCCCGGAGCCAGCCCCGACGCCCACAGACGGGCCCGCAGCTCCCGGCCATTCCGGAACCAAGGGAGGTTCTGGATCTGGCCCCGGGTCCCAGGGAGGCGGCCCCCAGCCCTCACCCCACTGGGCTCTGGCCTGGCCCTGCTGGGCCAAGAGACAAGTGGGTGCAGGGTGCAGGCCCGAATCTGGAACGCCGCACACGGCTGGCCGGGGATGGGGGGCGTCCGGAGTGGGGGGTCCCTCGGCCCGCGGCGTGGCCGGCTCACCTTCACACTGCCGGCCGTCCCCCTTGTAGCCGGGCTTGCAGAGACACCGGTAGGAGCGTGGCGCGTTCTGGCAGATGGCGTCGATGTGGCAGGCGTCCGTGCCCTCTGCACACTCGTCCACGTCCGTAGCTCCTGGGGGTGGGGGGATGAGACCTGAGCGGTGGCCGCAGGCGAGGGGCCCGGCTCCCCTCCCTTCCTCCTGGGCCCCTCGGCCGTGGCCCCCGGGGAGTTTGCGCAGACAGTTGGTGGCGGGCAGGGCCGGTGACCCAGACCAACCCTTATTTCTACCACAGTCCCTCTGGCCCGGTGGCCGCTGTGGCTGGCTTTGGGGCCACACCCAGCGGGGCTCAGCGCTTGCTCCCGGCTCTGTCTCTAGTGCTCCGAGGATGGCGCCTGGACCTGCCGGGTGCCAGGCAAACCCTCCCCCCCCCCGCTAGACAGTCCGCCCCCACCCTGCAGAGAGCACAGAGCACCCAGGGCCTGCTGCAGAGAGCGGCCCGACCCCCACCCCTGCCACCCCCGTCTGGGGCGAGTCTGGGCTCCTCACACCCCACCCCAGACTCAGCTGCAGTCTGTGGGGGCTCCCGCCCGACCCTGCACCCAGCCCACCTGTGACTCCCTCTCGTTCCGCTGAGAAGCCCACCAGGCTGGGACACGCTCGGAGGGCTGAGCGCAGCGGGGACCCCTGGTGCAGACCCCCCGGGTGCAGCCCGCAACGAGACTGCTATGCCCCAGATCACCGGCACCTCCCGCATACTCAGAGACGGGGAGATGGCTGGGCCCAGGCTGCCAGACGGGAAACTGAGGCCGAGAGAGCTTGGCAGCTTGTGGGACACTCACGAGGGGCAAAGCCTGGACTCTGCACGGAACAAGCAGGTCGGGGATGGGAATGAGGCACAGACGGACAGAGGGACGGATGGACGGACGGCAGCGCAGGGACCCTCCGCGGGAAGTTTGCAGTGGGGGGGTCTTCACTTTGTGGCCAGCCCTGCCTCCACCCCTCCGCCATGTGTGCCGGCAGGCAGCGGGGAGCCCCTCCCTCCCCAGGACCCCTCCCCCTGCCCGCCCCCCCCCCCGGAAGACAAGGAATGGGCAGCGCTGGGGACCCACACAGCGGGTGTGTGGGGGACACACGTCCACACACCATACAGACTCACGTGCACCCACACACTACACACAAATTAGCAGGCATGCATCCACACACCACATGCATGAACCCACAATCACACGGATGCACATACCTGTACGTGACCACACATTATACACACACATATATATATGCACGCATCCACACACTACAGACAGACTGGCATGTCCACACGACAGACACACATGCATGCACATCCCCACATACTACACACTTGCGTGTACAACACAAACTACACACAGAGAAGACACATTCATGCACACATACACAACGCCACATGCACAGACTACATGCACACACCACACGCACATGCACACAAACACATGCGCACACATAAAAACATACGTTCACATGCTATATTCATGCACACATCCACGCTACACATACACACAGACCACACAGGCAACACGGGTGAACATAACGACACTACAGGAACATGCAGGCACAGGCACGTGGGAACACGCACAGAGACATGCATGCAGACGCGCACACACACGCATCCACATACACAGACACACACAGACACGCACAAAGATACATGTTTACACAGACATGCATGCAGACGTGCACACACACGTAGACCCACAGATGCATATACACACACATGCACACACGTACACAAAGACACAGACGCACACACAGACGCGCACATACATGGACGGAGACATGCATGCACAAAACATGCACACGCAGTCATGCACCCACAAATATGCACACGCAAACTTGCACACACAGACACACAGGATGCATGCATCAAGCAGGTGATGCCGCTTTGGGGGTTCTCTCGGCTCAGGGCAGTTCCAGCTCCACAGTTGCCCCAAAGTGGGCACCAGGGGCTGAGTCTGGGGGTGCAGAGCCGAGCACCGGAAGGCTGGGGGCCAGCTAGGACGGCCAGCAAGGAGCTGGGGATGCGGCGAGAGGGATACCCCGGGCGTGAAGCCAGAGCCCAGGGACAGCGGGGGAGAGGGGGAAGGAGGGGGTCCCCTCACCTGCCGGTGGGGAGAGCACTGGGCCCCACAGGCTCCTGCCTCCTCCCGGTTCCTACCTGGACAGGTGCCCCCATGCGGGCAGGAAGCGGAGGCTGCCCCTTGGGGGGTGGGCAGGGAGCCCCCGAGAGCAGAGGGGTGTCTGCTCACAGGCTCCCGGGGGCAGGTGTGGGTGCGCCCCAGCCCACGGGGAAGCACCTGGAACCGGCACACTGGGGCGAAGGGCCCGGGCAGGCGGGCGTGGAGCGATCCCGGGGGTCGGCGCGGAAACGGCTCCCCGCCAGCGCCCCTCTCGGGACAGACGCCCAGGAAGGACCCCACCCCACCCGGCGGGGACCCCCAGCAGGCAAGAGAGGGAGCGAGAAGCCCCGGCAAGCAGCGTCGCAGGGGCTGAGAGGAGCCGGACACGCACGGGGACCCGCCCGGCCCGCGGCCGCCGCCCACCCCCAGGCCCCCTCCCCGCGGCGCGTCCCCTCCCTTTCCCGGACCTGCCCTGCGAGCCCCCAGGGCCGGGGTCTCGGGGTCCACCCTTCCCCGCTCTCAGCCGGGCCGCGCCCTCGGGCGGGTCCGGGCCGGCTTCCCCGCGCCCCCCGTCGCCCCCACCCCGCGCCCCGCACCCGGGCCTCCGCGCGCCGCCCCCCCGCGGGCCCCCGCTCCCCTCCGGCTTCTCCCCCTCTCCCGGGCCCGGGTCCTTTTGTGTGCGTGTCCCCCACCCCGCCCCCACGCCTCGCGCCCCCTCTCCGGTCCGTCGGTGGCCCCGTCCACCACCCCGCCGGGCCTCTCCGGCTCCGGGGGCGCCGGCGCGCAGCCCGGGGAGCGGGGAGCGGGGACCCCCGCGCCCTCCCCTCTCCTCGCCCCCCCGCCCCCGCCCCGCCCCGCGCGCGCCCAGAAGTTACTTTGCAAAGAGGCGGCGCGCCCGGGGCTTACCTGCGAGCCCGCCGGCCCCCGCCGGCCGCCCGCGCCAGCCCAGGGCCAGCAGCAGGCACAAGTGCCAGCGCACGGCCGCCGCGCCCATGTCGCCGCGGGCCCCCGGCTGGGCGTGCGGGGCGCGAGCCACCGAGCGGCCGCCTGCGCGCTCCCAACGCCGCCGCCGCCGCCGCGCTCCGGCCGCCGCGGGCAGCGCCGCTGACGAGGACGGGCGCGCGCCCATTGGCCCGCGCGGCCGGGGGGCGGGGCTCCGCGCGCGGCCGGCCAATGGGCGGCGGCGGGGGGGCGGGGCGGGCGCCGCGCCCGGGGCCGCCCCGTCCCTCGGGGCGGGCGGCAGGTGGGGCGCGGGGGCGGGGCCGGGTCGCGCGGCCCCGGGGTGCGCGGCCCGGGGGGCGAGCCCGCGCTGCCCCTTCGCCCCGGCCCCCCGGGCGGCCCGGGGGCGGCGCGGGGGCGTCGAGGGGGCCGCCCGTCGGGGCCGCGCCCGTGCCCAGGCCCCCGCGGGACGGAGAGGACCGGCCGTGCCCGAGTGCCCGAGTGCCCGAGTGCCCGCTGCCCACGGCCGCCCTGCGCCCAGGAGGCGCGACCTGGGCCCCGTCGCGGGGACAGCGCCCGCGCGCCGTCGGGGTGGGGCAGCGCCCAGCCCAGGGCGGACCTCCGCTGCCCAGAAGGAGCGCAGGGCCCAGGCGCGCGTGGGGAGGGGGCGGAGGCCGCCCCCCGAGTGACAGGCTGGGGGTGGGGGGCGGGCCGGGCGCCAGGATGTCAGGCGGCCCCAGGGCGAGGCTGGAGGCTACACCTGCCGCCCTTGGCCTCTGCGACCCGCACTGGACACCGCGCTGCAGGGGCGCAGCGGGAGCCAGAGGGCCCCTCGGGCCGCAGGCCGAGCTCGGAGGAGGAGGAAAGTTCAGCGAACCCCGCCATCTCCTTGGCGACCACCAATCACAACGCCCCCTTTTCTTCTGCAACTCGGGCCTCACTCAAAGGCCAGCCTCGAGGCTTTTTGTCCACTCGGCCCGCGCCAGTCCGCTCGGCAGCAAAGCCTCCCCCCCCCTGCTACCCTCACCCATTCCCGGGCTCACAGACATCCTCAGACACACACAGCCCCCTCAGTCACACACACACATTGCACGCCACACATGCCTTGCAGCTGCACACGGAGACATGGGCACACATGCAGAGATGCACAGACATACAGGCACACACACAAAGACATGCACACACACACAGACACCACATGCCCACACACAGAGGCACACACCTGTTCGCAACATGCACACACAAACACACGTGAGTGTGCACACACAAGGCAGGTACACACAGATGCACACACACCGTCTTTCCATCCCTGATCTCTGCAGCCTGGGGAAGGGGAGCCTTCGTCTTCACCCCATGGGGGAGGGGGCCCACCCTTTCTCCAGGTGGTGAGGGGGCCCCCCACCCTGGGCAACCAGAAGGGGCGGGTGTGGCAGGTGGGAACTGAAGGGAAGGGGCGCTGCTCTCTGCCCCTCACTCCGGAGCTTCCCCCTGGGGGAGACCTGGGGCCCCAGCCACCAGGTTTGACTTCTCGTTCTGTGTTCGGGGCTCCCTAGGGCACTCCCCTCAATCACAGTCGGATGGTTCTGGGGGTCGGGCCCGGGGCCTGGAGCTTCCCGGGCTCCTGCCCCTTGGCCTCCCTTTTGTCCTCAGCTGTGCCACTCAGGGTCTCGGGAGTCAGAAGTGTCCCCAGCACACATGTTGTCAGGGACACTGAGGGACAGACAGGGGATGTGGGCTTCGGGTGGCTCACTGCAGGGTCTCTAAGACAGCATCACACTGCCCTCAGGGGCCCCATGCCCGGCCAGGTGCCCTCGGCCCCCGCCTGCTGGCAGCCAGGGACGCTTCCTCCCCCCAAATCTGCCCGTCATGGGCCTGGGGGCGGGGGACAGCGTGTCACACCGCAGGACACAAAGCATGGAGAACGTGCCGAGGCCTTGAAGGGGTGGACACCCCCAGACCTGTGTCTGGGACACCTCTGCCTGGAGCACCCACACCCCTCCTCCCCCCCACCCTCCCTCCTCCTGCCCACACCAGCCCCGGGCTCCAAGCAGGGCTGAGATTTCCTCCACGCTCCCAGAGGCTGGGGGGCGGCCCCCCACGAGTACAGTGACACCGGAAGTGTCACATGTGTTTCCTCCCGGACGGATGGGACCAGCTCCAGCGGGGCCCTGAGCGAGGCCTTGCCTCAGGGCTGCTGAGTGAACGGGCGAGAAACGGGGGCTTTTGTTCCGCTTCCGGGGGATCAACCATGATTCTTGGGGCATGAGTTGGGCGGCGCCCTCTCCCTGCGCCCGTCATCCTCTGTGTCCCCCGGGGGAGCTGGGCGCGCCCCTTCTGCCCTGTGGCTCCCTCGGGCGGGGCATGGGACCCTCCTCGTCTTCCCCCAGACGCAGCCTCTGCACCCCGACTCCAGCTCTGCACGCCTGTCCCAGCGGAGGCAGCCCTGGTGGGGGGCAGTCGAAAAAGTTCCCAGGGAAAATGCCCGCCTCCTCCTGAGAGTACCCCCGGCCTCACCACCTCCCTCCCGGCACCTGGGGTTTCCTAAGACGCCTCTTGGTGGCTACCGGCTTCCTGACTTGAGCCCCACTTGGCAAGGGAGGGCCTAGGCGCCCCCAGACCCCGACCCTGGGCAGCCCCCTCAGACCCTCCTCTGCCAATTTTCATCCTACTTTTTTTTTTTTTGGCTTTTTGGTCACACCCGGCGATGCTCAGGGCTTTCTCCTGGTTCTGCACTCAGGAACTACCCCTGACAGTACTCAGGGGACCCTATGGGATGCTGGGAATCGAACCCGGGTCGGCCGCGCTCGAGGCAAACGCCCTCCCCGCTGTGCTATTGCTCCAGCCCCCTCTCGACCTACTTTTGGTCGCCCCCTCCCACATCCCATTGCTACATCCTCCCCACACTGTCCGGACGCTCACAAAACAGACTGTGAAGTCGTCGAGCACGTCAGGTGTTCCCGACGCCTGGGGGGTGTCACCAGGCTGCCGTGAGCACGCAAGAGGCACAGCTGCCACCCGACACGCACCCCAACACTAAAATAGAACCTGCACAAGACGCAGCCTCAGACTGCTGGGACGGCACCCGAAGCAACGAGAGCCGAGTGGGGGGTGGGGGGCGGGCAAGTACCCAGCGCCGCCGTTCCCAACGGTTCAGGGTCCACGCACCCCGTGTGCGCTCACAGGGGAATGACCCCCGTGAGCAGAACATCAGACCCACGTTCCACCACGACTCATGGTTCATCCTTAAAGACAGGACCCGCAGGCAGCTTGCGTGGAGCTGAAGCCGCTCCAATCCCCGGGGAACGGCCCTGAACTGCCCAGTAGCACTAGGCATGAGCCCTGAGCACAGAGCCGGGAGTCAGCCCTGAGCACAGAACCGGGAGTCAGCCCTGAGCACAGACCAGGAGTGAGCCCTGAGCACAGAGCTGGGAGTCAGCCCTAAGCACCGAGCCAGGAGTCAGCCCTGAGCACAGACCAGGAGTGAGCCCTGAGCACAGAGCCGGGAGTCAGCCCTGAGCACAGAGCCGGGAGTCAGCCCTGAGCACAGAGCCTGGAGTGAGCCCTGAGCACAGAGCCGGGAGTGAGCCCTGAGCACAGAGCCGGGAGTGAGCCCTGAGCACAGAGCTGGGAGTCAGCCCTGAGCACAGACCAGGAGTGAGCCCTGAGCACAGAGCCGGGAGTCAGCCCTGAGCACAGAGCCGGGAGTGAGCCCTGAGCACAGAGCCAGGAGTCAGCCCTGAGCACAGACCAGGAGTGAGGCCTGAGCACAGAGCCGGGAGTCAGCCCTGAGCACAGAGCCGGGAGTCAGCCCTGAGCACTGCCTAGTGGGGCCTGAAAAGCAAAACAACACATAAAGAAAGGAAACACTTAACAGGTGCTTCAGGCCTGATCTCAGGACACTGTGACTAGTCAGCCCCCGAGGGAGCAGGGCCCCTCAAGGTCACAGGTTCCTGGGGACAGGAAGGAGGAATGAGGCGGGGGATGGAGGGTGGGGAGGGGCCGGGAAGCTGCACCGGCTGTGGGTGCCGGCAGGGGCGTCTGCACAATAACCCTAGTGAAGCCACGACTTCAAACGCTGAAGATGATCAACTCCGTGTTGTGTATATTTAACTGCACCAACTCCCCCACAGCCCCCGAACTTGCAACAGCCACTTAAATTATTTTAATTTTAGCTTCCCTGAGGTCTATGGAAATCGGGAGATGAAAATGTCATACCTTCCAATTCTTACATAACGGGAAGCTCAGGTTTCCAAAAGAAACGCTAAGCTCGATCAATTAAAATGATCGCACGGGGTGTATTTTTAAAAAGCTCCACAGAACGGCTGCATCTCACTTTTCCGCCTCTCCCCCCCCCCCCCCCCAAAGTTTTGGCCTCAGATCTGCAGCGGTTATGTGGTGAAATATAGTAACATGAGCTGCGGCCACCGGCTCCTCCCCAGGGAAGGCCTCTGGGCCCAGCGCTGTGTGGAGAATTGGGCCCGTGATCCTCAGGGATGAGCAGCCGCCTCCCCCCCCACTCTGCCCGTGAGCCCCCCAAGTGTGGCCCCCAAAAAGCAGACGAATCATCCCACGTTGGCTTCTCCTGCTCTGAGTGTGACGAGGACGAATCTGGAGGCACGGAGAAGCGTCACCTGATGTCTGTGGGGTCTCCGTCCCCTTGTTCATCGATTTGCTCCAGCGGACACCAGTAACGTCTCCATTATGAGACTTGCGGTTACTGTGTTTGGCATATCGAATACGCCATGGGAAGCGTGCCAGGCTCTGCCATGCGGGCGGGATACTCTCGGTAGCTTACCAAGCTCTCCAAGAGGGACGAAGGAATCAAACCCCGGTCGGCCGCATGCAAGGCAAACGCCCTACCCGCTGTGCTATCGCTCCAGCCCAACAGCACAAGTAATTTTTAAAAATTCAACTTCATCCAACTCAAAACACGTTTGCTTCAAAAGACATCACTGAAGAGGCCAGAGAGATAATACAGGGATTGAACTTCTGTCATTGGGGTCCCTGGATAAAGCGGGGGCTCTTCCTGAGACCCCGTTTCCCAGACACCGTACC